AGTTTTAGCTAAAATTGGACTCCTCATCGAGAAATTTAGCGATTCCATAAACTCATGATGCGTAGACGTTTTAAATTGCTGTCCTTCTGAGGATACAGTAACGTTTCTTTCTTTCGACTTTGGAAAGTTAGAAGGTGAAGCTGACTCGGCTTCTCCAGTTATTTTTGCGGGTAACTGCCAGCATTCTACCTTACAGCGAGCTCGACCATCGTGAGTGTCTGGTATATGTCTTTTATTCTCATTATCCTCTCTTATTTGTGCCGTAAGTCGTCCATTGAGCCCTGAATTTACTGAGGCAAAGGGAAGTCCCCTTTTATTTTGAGCCCCCAAAGAGGCCTTTCTAATGCCTGAAGTTACATCATCTGTATTAGCGGATCTGATGGCCTTTTCAAACTCACTATTAGCTCGGTAAAAATGTGGTGAGTTTTTCGATGCAACAGGTACAGCTTCAAGCTGCTCTAGAAGCTCTTCTATTGATTTTTTGCAGTGATCCAATTCGGTCAAGCGTTGCAAAAGATGAGTACGGTTTGAGTTTTCTCTTAAGTCTTTTACATCAAGCAATGGGTCTGAATGCCGGTTGGCCAATTCTACCGAGCTGATCAAATTATTTGAACTCATTTTCCTGGAAATTGGCTCTGAGGAGACTATAGGGGCTGCAATTACTGTGTAATCTGGGCGATCATTTATATCAAATGGGACGTATATATGGGTATTTAACCCTAAAGCTTGTTTTACACAAGATTGCTTAGAAGTATCCTTGTGTTGAAAGTTTTCCGAATTTAATTGAGTTCTGCCAGCTTTACTGACCTTGGAGCAGCAATTTGTTATAGAGTTTGTAGAACGATTGAGGTTGAAAGAATTGAAATCATTTTCAGGTGCAGATTTATTCGATTTCGGCAAAGTCGAGAGGGCATTATGTTGTTTTCCTAGAGTTCTTGGCTAAAATTTTAAAAATAATCATATTTCAGTTACGAATAAATAATTGCATAAGAGTAAAATTCATAAAACTTTTTCTGAATAATCGAGTTGATATTGGGAAGCATGATTTCCCTTTTTATAGCTTAGCAGGATTCAATGAAAGCTTAAATCTTAACATATATTATCGCAAAGTCCAAATAAAATCTGCCTCGGCAAGAGCCCAAATTCCCTGAAAATTAAGCGACTCTTTTGCGATTAGTCAAGAAGGAGGTACACAATAGGCATTTTAAGGTAAGGATCGTTACTGCTTTTACTATTTATTAGAGGCATGATCAGTGTGATCTAAAGCCGATAGTTTGGTTGTTCACGATACAATGAGGAAGGCTTTGATTTTCCATGGAATTTTACAATAACTTATTTCTAAACTGTCTTCTTCGACAGGATTGAACATTAATTCAGACTAACCTAGATCTTCTCATAATTAGATGTGGTTGACTTGGACTTGAATTAATTTTGGGTTGGTGACAAGACTAAGCTGAGGTCGAAATGGCAGCCTGATTAAGATAATAAATCCTTTTG